AATAAGTTCAATACTGATCTGATAACTAATAGTCTGACCCGTAGGTATATGTGTGGTCAGACTATTAGTTATCAGATCAGTATTGAAATTATTCTGTAGGTATATGTGTAGGGTCAGACTATTAGTTATCAGATCAGTATTGAACTTATTACACATATACCTGCAGGATAGTTTCAATACTGATCTCATAACTAATAGTCTGATCACTAAGATGCTTCAATATTCAGCCAGCTAGTAATAATCTTCAAAAGTATTAGTAAGTCTTGAGACAAAAAATAAACCCATAATTCTCAACTCAGCTTAAGAGATTCAAGTCCAGCATGTTTAGTGAGGCCCCCCTCTCTTCTTTTCAATCCAGAGGTCAAAATATTCCCAAATTTAATGTAGGATTAACAAGTTCTAGTATGAAACAAAAAGTAAAGGTTACAGGATAACAACTGGATATTACATATGCCACTTTTCATAATTTACCTTCGTACAATTTATATATAAAGTGTCTAGCACAGAGTCCACTTGTTCAGAAAGACATTTGAAACACATCAAAATGTTCTTAAAAGCATCTTAACTAATGCTGCAGTTACCCACCTGCCTCAACAAACAGTGCTGTTGGTCCCAGAAGAAAGATTCACCTTGAGGGGAAGAGAGAACAATCCCCTGAGGCTGTAACAGGGGGTGACCAAGGGGCAAAGGAGCTGACTGAGTTCTGCCTAAAGGACGGTTGATGTTTCTGGAAGAGTGAAGAAAATTCAAATTATGAAAGTTTCCCAAGGTTTAAATTTTTTTTAAAAAATACAAAAACTATAGTTTATACATAGATGTAAAGAGTTCTTCCATGGATATCTTTGGACAAAACAATGGATTATTAACAAGTTTTTCCATGGATATCTTTGGAAAAAACAATGGATTATTAACTAGTTTTTCCATGGATATCTTTGGAAAAAACAATGGATTATTAACTTGCATAAATGGCAGATATTTCTGAAGAAACATTACGCTAAAGCAAAGTGAAGAAACTGAGCTCAGAGCTAATAAATAATACAAAATTTTCTTCCCATCACCAGAACTTATTAAAACAATACCAGAGCATAATTAAGGTGAAAACACGGAAGATGAGCGAACTTATTAAAACAATACCAGAGCATAATTAAGGTGAAAACACGGAAGATGAGCGAACTTATTAAAACAATACCAGAGCATAATTAAGGTGAGCTCCTACCGATGTAGTCTAGCCTGAGCCTCTGTAATGTCACTAACAGGGTAGTAAACTTCAGAGGCAGCAGACATAACTTCATTTACGGAAAGGTCTTGTCTCGACGAGGAAGCTTGTTCTAAGGCTTTCATCTGATGCTGGATGTAGGCGGGATTTGTAGGTGAGGAAAATTCTCCATCTATGACTACATTAGAAAAAAAACACAAAATCAATTAAGGTTTCCACTACTGTGAAGATATAAAAAATTTAAAAAAAAATGATTTTTTAAAAAAATGCAAAGTAGTTTTATTTACAGTCTTTCCCCTACTATCTGATTTAAAATAAAGTTGGGTTGAAACAAAATACATATTTAATAAGAGAAAAGAGGGAAGTTAGAAAATATCACTGGTATGTTATTCTGCATCTAAAGATACTTATGGCATGGAAAATACTTGGAATGTGTTGTTGGCAAATGTTCTTTAATAACAACCATTTTTGTGGCTTAACAAAACAAACATAAACCATAACCTTGATAGTGAATGACCAACAGCTCAGCATCTGCATCTTTCTTTAATATTACACAACTTAAAGCACATTTTACGATTTGTTTACTGTAAAGAAACTATCAAACTTTGAAAATAATATCTCTACAACTTATATAAAAAAGTAAATGCATCATAAAGTAATATTAAATATTTACCCGGTAAAGATGGGTAGAATGGAAGAGAGGAATGAAGACTGTGAGATGTCAGTGGCAATCCCAATTGTGCTGCAGCTGTAGCTCTAGCCTGGGCCTCAGACGTTGCTGATACGTCCTTTGATTCCTGACAAAGGTTATAAAACATCAAGTATTTGTTTTGATTCAATTATAAACTTTAAAATTTCACCATATTTCTGTAACAAGCATCAATAATTCTTGGTTCTCTTTAAACAAACAATAACTCTTTGAAGTCATCCAGTCAATTATTTTACTTGCCAACTACCAATTAAACCCCCCCCCCCAAAAAAAAACGTTATTCTAGACAGTAATATAAATGACTATTCTGGTACTAATACACCAATAAATTATTCTACCTCAGAAAGTTGGTTTTCTAAGTCTTTACCAAGGTGTAACATTACTTAGCAGCGAATACCTTTGTGTTTCATTATTATTCGTAGTTTTGGCTAAGGCTCCTGAAATATCTGAGAGAGTTTAGTCACATTCAGTTCCATTTCCTTACTTTGAAAACCAAAAAAATAATACACATACAATAGCAAGAAAACTCACACAAGATGTTGTTTTTCCAGCGCAGCTCTACATGTTAAACCATTAACTGACTACGTGCATTTTCAATAAAGAAAATTTCCTTAAGGTTTGAAATGGTTTCCAGCTGGACCAGCTAACTTTGAAACAGTGAAAACAGCTAATGAGATGGATTCTAACTGGTGAAATCTCTACTTTCCTATTGGTTTTTAAAGAAAAATGGTTACCAGTGGGTTTGGAATTGGACTAGTTTGTGAAAAAAAAAGGTTATGTAGTTTTCTTTAGAGACAATCTTTCCAATTAAAGGCTGAGCCTCACGAGATCAATTCAATTTTTTAAACTTCCAAGTGGAATAGCATACAATAATGATTTTTGTGTAATAATTTTGGCTCATCCATTTAGCTCAAAAGTGGTTGAAAGACAAGTAAATCATCCAATTCTGGTACAAGTTACAGTTTGATTATAGAAGTTGAAAGCTCTTCAACTAAAAGCATATCAATTCTCAGGTAAAAACCATGCACATCATTTTCAATTACAGCTTTGTAAAATACTCAGTTATCCATGTTTATGTTTTACACATTACACTACGTTTTATCAACTACTTGTACAATTGTTTACAATAAATATTTTGAAATGTTACAAATAAACGGTGCGTTTAATATGTGAATTTTGTAACACACTACTGTGATTTACGTAAGAAACTATTCATTATGAACCAGATCTTTGGTGAATAAACATTAATGTTATAAAACAGCAGTTTAATATGTGAATTTTGTAACACACTACTGTGATTTACGTAAGAAACTATTCATTATGAACCAGATCTTTGGTGAATAAACATTAATGTTATAAAACAGCATTTCTCAAACTGGGGGTCAGAACCCCCAAATGGTGGTCATAAGATCATAACAAATATTACAATAATAGCTATATTAGAGTATTCACAGTACTTTGCTATCAATTTGTGTGTGGGGGAGTCACAGCCTGAAACATTTTCAAGTGGGGGCCACCAAACAATAGTGCGAGAAACCTTCTCATAAATTAAAGTATGCACAGAACATCAGCCAGAATGGATTACTAAAACAATATTGTATATTTATAAATGCTTCAGATAATGTTGCTTCAGTAAGAAATGTGAGGTTATTATACTTGGAATAACCCACCACCCCCTCTCTCCCCAACTCCACAGGAGTACACAGAGGAAAAAAATGCAAAAATTTGTTTTTCTATCTTTATAATTTCAATGAAATTATCTATGTGATCTTGAAAACACTAAAATTTTAAAAACTCTCACTTAACATGCTATAATAATGTTAAGGAATGAAACATACAAGTATACAGATGACCACATTAGAAATACTATAACTTGAATCTATCTCAAAGCAGGTACTTTTATGTTTGTCCATCAGACAACGATATGGGGATTTTAGTCTGACTTTTTTTTGTTCCGGGGTAGCGAGTCAATTGAAATGTTTATGTCTAGTACAGTCGCAATCTTAAACCAGATATACACATTCAGCTAAAAAGTGTATTGGTTTTTGGACATTTCCATCCTCATCAAATATTCACATGCATACAAAGATATCAAGTTCATAAATATCAGTTATATCTACATAGTTTAAGCCTTTTAGTTTCTTACATTTACAAATTTTTGGAATATAAAAAAAAATCTGTCTTCAACAATACTGTAACAATGTAAAACAAGTGAAAAACATCTGTCTTCAACAATACTGTAACAATGTAAAACAAGTGAAAAAAATCTGTCTTCAACAATACTGTAACAATGCAAAACAAGTGAAAAAAATCTGTCTTCAACAATGCTGTAACATTGTGAAAAAAGTGAAAAATCTGTCTTCAACAATACTGTAACAATGCAAAACAAGTGAAAAAATCTGTCTTCAACAATGCTGTAAAAATGCAAAACAAGTGAAAAAATCTGTCTTCAACAATACTGTAACAATGCAAAACAAGTGAAAAAAATCTGTCTTCAACAATGCTGTAACAATGCAAAACAAGTGAAAAAATCTGTCTTCAACAATGCTGTAACAATGTCAAACAAGTGAAAATAATTTTGCTATAGCTGACACTTCAACCAATGACTCCTGGCTCACAGAAGTGTGTGGAAACCATCAAACCATCTCCAGCAAACAACACTACATCTAGCTAAATATTGCATCACAAATTACTTCAAGATCCAATTATATGTTTCACAATTAATGATAACATTTGCATTAAAATACATTTTTAATATAGTAGGAGTGGCAAAGGTAGTTAATAATTAGGTTAACAGTTTAATTTAACTTTGGAAGAGCATGAAAAGCGAGTAAAAATAAAACAAACTGCACTATAACATAAAACTCGTCAAGAGAAGTTTTTATCATCGAACTGATGACATTGCTTGAAATTACATCTCTTACCGATATGTTTTTATACTGAAAGCAACAGGAATGTCCCCAAAACGGACAACAAAAATGACCCCAAAACAGATTTAGCTGCAGCATTGAACTGTCTCCCAAGAAAGGTGAGAATGTCAGCAAACAATACCTAATTAGATTGTTTGTGTTCACTTATAATAAAGAAATTGTTCTTAAAAGACAAGCAATACATGATAGTAATTAAAATTGTGTTATAAACTAGTCTGTTTTGAATACTTTTCCAAATAAGAACTAGGCGGGATATGAACATACTGGCAATAAAAGGCTTCCAGCTTCTTGCTTCAAATGTGCAATTAAGGTTATTGATTTCAAACTGAAAGAAAATATGTCTTCCCCCTTGTCCCATATTTCATCCAAATGGCAGGTGAAGTGATTTGGCCATCTGCAATTTTTTCCACTTGCTGCAACAGGCATACAACACCATCATTTAGGGTCAAGACCAGAGATGGACCAAGACAAAGATGCTACATAATATTAAATGTTTGTTTGATGACCACAACCTGAATATCTCACACTCAACAGATCAAATAAGAAAACTAAGCTGACCTTTGACACTTGAGGAAGAACAAAACATTCTTCAGTAACTTATACTGTTATAGTTTTTAGAGCTGACCTTTGACACGTGAGGAAGAACAAAACATTCTTCAGTAACTTATACTGTTATAGTTTTTAGAGCTGACCTTTGACACGTGAGGAAGAACAAAACATTCTTCAGTAACTTATACTGTTATAGTTTTTAGAGCTGACCTTTGACACTTGAGGAAGAACAAAACATTCTTCAGTAACTAATACTGTTGTAGTTTTTAGAGCTGACCTTTGACACTTGAGGAAGAACAAAACATTCTTCAGTAACTAATACTGTTGTAGTTTTTAGAGCTGACCTTTGACACTTGAGGAAGAACAAAACATTCTTCAGTAACTAATACTGTTGTAGTTTTTAGCCTTAGTCTTTTACACCCACAACTGGAGAATACTTACTGTATTGTTTATTTGTTTTTTTGATGATCCTGTTAATTCTATTACACAGCTAAATAAGAAAACACTAACAGTAAAAGTATCTCAAAAATAATTATTTTAAAAACTTTCAAAAGCATTAAAATTAAAGGTAAATTATTGGCTCAAAAAAAATTCAGTTTGACAATTTTATAATAAGGAAGTAGTATGAAATCTAATTAGTTTTTTTTTCTACACAAAAATGGATGTTGACATATTACAACACTCACATTGGTATTACAGTGTGTTGGAGGACGACCAAGAGAAATATTTGGCATAGAAGACGAACCGAGTATCAATCCACTTGACTGACCAATGGATGCATCATACGGATGTCTTCCAGCATCCTAGGTTTCAAAGATACAAAAGAAATTTTATTTTTAGAAGATTTAAAATGTTTACAAAAAAGAATTTACGTAGATCTTCCTGAAGCAAAACAGTATACTTTAATAAGTCTTATAAATTCCTGAATTTATACTTAACATATTTTATATACTTGCATGAGGTGTTTAATAAAAGGTTAGAAGAAAAAAGATTGTTTGAAGAACAGTGTATGTAGATTCAGTTCATTTATATTTTTCGTATAGTCTAGGTAGATATCTAGTTTGTTGACTTCCTGCTTAGTTGATAATGAACATTTAAGCATTAATCGAATAACTGAAATCAGGATTATAAGTGTAAAATTTAGAGCACTGTAATAAACAATTTTAAAACACATCATTCTAATATTGTAAGCTGGAGTTAGTAACTGTGTTAAAGACTTACACTGGACTCAGTAAGACAGTTAAAGTAACTGAGCTACAGACCTATGCTGGAAGTAGTAACTTAGCTAAAGATTTATGGTGGACTTAATAACAAAGCTTAAATCTTATGCTGGATTTATTAACACAGTCAAAGGCTTAAGTTAGACTTATAACGGCTGGAGATGACTTGAATGGGTAATGAAGAAAAACTTTAATATAAGTTTAACATAACAGCAAATGTACAACGTTTCGACAAGGTTTTGTCATCATCAGGTACTCCAGCCATTATTAGTCTCAAAGTGGGTTCCTCGTCATTAAATTTAAGTTAGACTTAGTAAGAAAGTTTAAGACATATGCTGAGCTCAGTAAGTCTACTAAGCTAAGAAATATTCTAGAATTAGTAACTGAGTTAAAAGTCTATGACGGTCCAAGTAACTCAGCTAAAGGCTTAACCTGAACCAAACAGATGTTTCTATTCAGTTTTTATGGTGTGATGAAGCATATCTGGCTAACATTGACAAATGTGTACCATAATGTTAAATCTGGTCAAATGGACTATAAAGCAATAAAGTATCCCAGATTAAATGTTACCTGCTACATAAGTTTGAATACTAGAAATGCATATAACTAATTTTATTTTGAATAGTCTGCTTCAGCTGCAAAGTAAAGGGATTGAATGTGATGATAGTTGTGGCAGCAAAGAACCACTACAATGTTCTTGAGTAGTAATTGTTGGTTCTTGGATTTCTTTAACATTTGTCTGGTAATATATATCAGTCAATACATGGCTAGTGTTTGATTAGTAAGTGATGCTATATTATTAATAATTATCATTATTTTCCTGGAATTGTTTAGATGTGTACTTTAAACAATGTATTTGTTTTTTAAATTTCGCGCAAAGCTACA